TTATGGTTACTGCTACCTAGATGTTCTTTTATATGGACATTCATAATAAACTCTGCATGGTTTGAGGTTACCAGGTCCAGCAGAGCATCATTCCTAGTTGGGGCATCTAAGAACTGTGCCGTATAATTGTTCTGTAGTAGGTTTTAAACATTTTTGCCCCCCATTATTATCACTGTCCCAGCCCTTTCAATCTGTGCAAGGAGCTGAGTGTCCACCTCCTCAACACTGGGAGGCCTATAACAAACTCCAATGATTACCTTTTGTTGTACGCCCCCCCATGTGCAGTTCCACCCTTAATACTTCAGCCTCATCACACTCTCCTTCAACTAGGTTCTCTTTCACACTCGCTCTGAGATCACATAGCGACATACACCACCAACTTTCCTATTTACCCTTTCTTTCTGAAAGCGAACATAGCCAGGAATATTAATGGCCCAGACGGTGTGTGTAAGCAATTGTTGGACCCTGAGACAGGTGAGTGTGTGTTTTATTAAAAGTCAGCAGCTACAGTTTTTATAGCTGCTGACTTTTAATAACACAAAACTGACTGGAACTCTGCTTTTAAACATTTACTTGGGACATACTATTAGATGTCCAGCCTGCCGGTAAAAAATGGGATGAGGGACTCAATGCAAATATGTTTGTCAGAAGTAAACATCTATGAATGTTTTGGGGAAAAAATGAGTAAGGCTACGTTCACACTAGCGTTGTGTGCAGGCGGCAGAGAGGTGTTTGGGAAGCGTTTTTACCGCTTCCCAAACGCCTCTGACAATTCTGCACATTGCAGCACATGGTGCTGTTCTAACGGGCGCGTTAGTGTCGTGTCGCGGCAAAACGGATGCCTCTGGTCGAATCAGGAGGCGTTGAAGCCTCCTATTCTAGTCTATGGTACCGCTCCGCAAACGCCCGGCCGGCGTTTGCGGCGCGGTTGCAGGGTGTTTGCGGAGCGGTAACACCATTTAAAACTAAAGTTTTTTTAACGCTCGGCAAATGCCTAGCAACCTCCGCTAAACCGCGCATGTGGTGTTTGCGGAGCGTTAAAAAAAACGTTCCGCAAAGCCGGACCAACGCTTGCCAAACGCTATAGGGGCCTTTGACAAGCGTTGGTAAAACAGTCAAGTATGAATGAGCTCTAAGTGGCATTATTTTGTAAAGCTTGTCGTATCCAGGGTGATTTTGGGAAAGACCACAGGGTTTTTATCACCAAATCACAAATGCACAAACCGCATGATCATTGCATAGTGTGTTCTTGACATAACTGAGGAATGTATTGGCATATAATGAATTTGGGGCGAGGACCAGTTAAGAGAACTTCTTTTTTTTTTTTTTTTTTTTTTTTTTTTGTGAGTCCCATATTTAGTGTTAGGCCCAAAAAGATTTTGAATTCAACTGTGACATGCTTCCATTTAAATGGACAGCCATGCAAAAAATTTGGAGTATCGGTGATGTACTTCTGGGTTTGGTCACAACGATCACATGGTACAGGCCCACTGTGGTGTTATTCCCCAATCTGTAATGCGCTCTCCAAAGGGCACAGCGATCAGATGACTCCACTGCGTGCTAAAAGTTGGAGGACATACAGTTACATCATCTCAGAACAAGGGAGCTTCTGGGCAAGAAGTTGTTAGTAGACCGAGCTGTTCAGCAAAAGTGGAAATTAGAGGATCAAGATAAATTAGAGGATCAAGATAAACCATTAAACACTTACAGGGGTGAAAAAATGTTTTAACTCCTTAAAATGTGTTAGCTGGAGCTAGCCTTTCGTTTGTCAGTCATGGTGATACTAAAGCGTCTTTTTTTAAAAAAAAAATAACAAACATGTCTCACTTATCTGCTCTGTGCAGTAGTTTTGCACAAAGCACCCCCGATCCTCTTCTTTTTGGGTCCCCTGCCGGTACTCCTGTCTCCTCCCCCTTGAGCAGTGCCCCCAGAGACAGCTGCTTGTCCTGGGGGCACCACTGCATGCTCATTCCGTAGCCGCTTCTCTATGCGTTCATAAGACAGAGCTGCGGCTCTGCCCTCCACTCTCCTCATTGGCTCACTGACTGTGACATAGAATGCATGAAGGTAAAAACCATGAGTCTTTAGAACCACTTAAAGTCCATCTAACACTACTGTCCAATGGTCCTCTTGTCCAATGGTGTCTCCATTGCTCCTCCATAGATGAGCCACCCTAAGACAGAAAATGAAGACTGACACTCAAGTCTTGTAAGCTGCAATATAATTTTGAGATGGGGTTAATTTTCTTCATAATGCAGTGTGATTGGGTGCTGTTGACTTCAAAGTAGCTGTAGCATTGTTAAAGAAGTCTTTAGACTTTAAAAAAATATATTTATCTGTCCTAGAATCTTTCTGATTTGGGTTGCAGCTATGTAGAAATTTACCAGAGTCTGGACCTGTTATAATTAATAATAATAATAATAATAATAATAATATTATTATGGTATAGTATTAATATTGATGTAAATCAGGGGTCTCTGAACTTTCTAAACAAAGGACCAGTTTATTGTCCTTCAAACTTTAGGAGGGCCAGACTGGCCAGCTGGAGAAGAACATGTCTTGATGTCAGTGGGAGCAAACAGTGTGCCCCTTGTTGGTGTCAGTGGGAGGAGTAGTGCCCCATTGTAGTGTGAGGGGCAGGAAGAGAGGAAACTATGCTCCACCATTGCTGACAGTAGGGGGAATAATGGCTTAAGGGCCAGATAAAAGCAAGCAAAGGGCCGCAGTTTGGAGACCACTGATGTAAATAATCTTGTGCTCTGGAAGCTCAAGTATCTGTTTGAACTTTTGTGTATAGTTTTAGCTGTGCATTTTGTTGAGTTTTGTTGCATGTGATTTTCATATTGCTTGCTTGCCATTAACAGTGAAGGTTTTTTGACCGCTTGTAAGATCATGTGAGTTTGTGTGTTCATGTGGTACTGTATCGTGGATGCAGCTTTAGAGGGTTAATAGCGTTTAAAGTACTGTTTAAAAAATGTATTAAATATGTTTTCCACCTAAAGTGTATATATGTGTGTGTATGTATGTGTATATATATATATATATATATATATATATATATATATATATACATTTTTTTACATCTATCTAAACTAACTCCTCCACATCTCCATGCTTTATTTTTTCAGATTCCCCCCCCCCCCCTTGCATTTTAGCATTTCTTGCCGTGGCCATCTTTTGCGTAAGGGCAAGATGATTCATGTAGAGTTTATTTCCTGGAATCCATCTGCCTTCTAGGCCAGGCATGCAGGCAGAAGAGTGTGCTTGGCTGAGTAAACCCCTCTTTACCTCCTGAAGACTCCTGGGATGTATGCCATCTTTTGCCTAGGCCTGCAAACAAGGAAGTAACTGAAGAAATATAAAAACAGTTTAACCACCTCCCGCCCGCCATATAGTAATATGACCGACGCAAGGTGGTTCTCTCGTTCTGGGAGGACGTCATATGACGTCCTCCCATTCTCACCGCGCATGCGCGGCTCAGGGAGTGCGCGGCGATCGGCGGTGCGCTGTGTCCCTCGGACACAGCGGATCACCAATCGCGGAAAGAGCCGAAGATGTCGGCTCAGTCATGTGATCAGCTGTGTCCAATCACAGCTGATCACATGTAAACAGGGAAATGACGGTTATCGGCATTTCTCTCCTCTCGAGCTGTCACGCTGACAGCTTGAGGGAAGAGGAGAGCCGGTAATCTGCTTTCCGTGGAGGGGACATGTACACTGATCATCAGGGCACTGATGATCAGTGTGCCTTGATGATCAATGTAGCCCAGCAGTGCCACCTGTTAGTGTCCATCAGTGCCTTGTGACAGTGCTCGTCAATGCCACATATCAGTGCCCATCTGAGCTGCCTTTCAGTGTCACCCATCAGTGCCAGTCAGTGCCACCTATCAGTGCTGCCTTTCAGTTGCTCATCAGTGATGCATGTCAATGCACATCAGTGCCTCAACATCAGTGCCACCTATCAGTGTCCATCAGTGCAGCCTATAAGTGCCCATCACTGCAGCCTCATTAGCGCACATCAGTGAAGGAGAAAAATCACTTATTTACAAAACTAAGAAAAAAACTTTTTTTTTTCAAAATTTTCAGTGGTTTTTGGTTTGCTTAAGAAAAAATAAAAAAAAACCCAGAGGTGATTAAATACCACCAAAATAAAGCTCTATCTGTCACAAAAAAAAAGATAAAAATTTCATATGGGTACAGTATTGCATGACCGCGCAATTATCACTCAAAGTGCGACAGCGCTGAAAGCTGTAAATTGGCCTGGGCAGGAAGGGGGTATAAGTGCCCAGTAGGCTTGTGGTTAAAACAAGTAAATCTGATTACTAATGCTAGCAGCATAAGGATTAAAAATAGTCAATATTGATTGAGAAAGGGAATTGCTAATTGCAAACATGCTTATTGTAAGCTTTGTCTGTGACAGTGTTTGTTTTTTGGTGGTTTTTTTGTTTTTTGTTTTTTTGTTTTTTACTATGCAAGTTGCTAGTTATTTTAAACATATGTTTTATTACAGTTGGCCTCTTAAAACTGGCCATACATGAATTGAAATTTGATCTGTTCAGCAGGGACCGGCTGAATTTTGGTCTATGTATGGGCACTGTGGTCTAACAGAAGTTGATTTACTGTTCAACGAGCCTGTTGGAGGCTATAGACTGTAGCACTGACCTGTGTATCCTGATGGCAGGGAAGTCTCAGAATTCAAAGACACAGTGAGGAGGATTCCCCCATCCAGTTTGATTGTGGAGATGGGGAGAATCGGGCCATTTTTTTTTTTTTTTTCTTTATCTTTTTTTTTTTTTCGTTTAATCCAGTGGTTGAACGAAAAAACCGACTCATCTATGGATGGCCTAAGAAATGCTATTCAAACATTTTTATTATATAAATTAAATACATTTTTGTATGTAATCGCCATTATACTCATTTGGCAATATACATACCCTGTAACAAAAGTTAAAGTGCTTGTTGCACTTCATTTGTGTAATCCATCTATAAATCGTCTTGCAGGTTCATGGCAACAAATGACTTGATGACGGAACTTCAGAAGGACTCTATTAAGTTGGATGATGATAGTGAAAGGAAAGTGGTAAAGATGATTTTAAAACTCTTAGAAGACAAGAATGGGGAAGTTCAAAATTTAGCTGTGAAATGGTAAGTTTTACATTTTAAACTGGTATTGTATTTATTCTGCTTTAGTGCATGTTTTGCTACTGTGAAAGAATCAGTTGTCTACTTTAAAGAAGATCTAAAGATAAAATACACCCGCACTCCTTCCTGCCCACTCTGGTGGCTTAAACCTGGTGTTACTAAACCCGTAACAGTAAAATCAGTCTCTATATGCAGTAAAGCATGCTTGTTATACTCACTGTGGAACCTAAGGGGTTAATCCTCCGCATTGTGTAAAAAGGCTGTTTGATCATATCTTCTCTAGCAGGCTGCACGTGTTCAGTTTGGTGTGTATTGCTAGAGAGTTTTTATTTTTTTTTTCTTCTTGGGAGAGTGCATTTGATTTGCACAGGGCTGATCAGTGCTGTCTACACAGAGGGGTTTATGCAGCCACATAGGGCAATCGGGGGAGAATGAAAACTCCTGCAAGCTTTACCAGTGCTCTGCTGGATACTGATAGAAGTCACAAGGCTGCTCTAACTGCTGATGACAAAGTATTTAGCAGTTAATATTAACCACTTTCTCAAAGCACTATAGTAGAAATACTGCTTCAGTGTGGCAGAGCTGCGCAAAATCACGTATGTATATGTGATTTGCATTTCTGGGTAGGGAGCCCATGTACGCTGCCCTACTCGTGCCGCCATTGGTGGCTAGGAATGACGATCACCCGAGTTCTGGCCAGAGATTCCCCACCAGCACCCGGTGATCGTTGGGGAAAGCTGACACGGGAGAGACCTGTATGTAAACAACACAGGTCTCTTCTGGCAGCAAGGACATGCTGCTTTGTATACAAAGCAACATGTCTCCCTAGTAAACCACACACAGCACATAATGTAAATACGGCAACGGTACCCTTTGATCGCCCCCCAACATGTTAACCCCTTCCTGCCCAGTGTCATTAGTTGGGTTTTGGTCATGCTGATTGCTAAAAACCAGCTGAACTAGCATTACTGCTGAAAATACTTTCAGGTAAATGTTATAATCTATAAATCGGTCCATGTGGAGTTCCTGGCTCAGGTCTGGGCAGTGTACAAGGCTTCAACTTTGCCTTTTGAGTGGCTGAGCCATTCAGCAGTCCATTTTCAAAACCTCTGGCTAGTAGAGGTTAAGTGAATCAGTTCCACTACAGAGGCCAAAAGCTCACTTAGTGTCTAGAGACCTTGTCTTCAGACCATTCATATAAGAAAAAAATTTCTATAAGATTATACAGTATATGCATTTAATTTGTGTGATGTATGTTATCTACCTGTTAAAGGGTAACTCCACTTTCATTGGTGAAAAAAGTGGCATGTAAAATTGAGATACAAGTCATAGTAAATTAAATATTATTAAAAAGTAAGTTTCCTTTTTAATCTGCATTGCTGTAAAGCGCAATGCAATATGGCAACATGAGGTGTTCTGTACATGGTCTACAGAACGTCCCCCAGAAATGTCATTTCCTGCTTGTGTGATTGGCTAACTGATTTCCCCAGAGATCTGTACTAGGACATAAGTCAGATGTAGAGCATCCCTTTTTAGGAAAATGTCATTTTTAATGAGATCCTTCCGAAGGGATGCAGACCCTGCAGTTTTTCCTCATTAGAGCCCTGCAGGTGCAGCAGCTGATAATTGTCACTCCCATGCAGATTCACTCTGCACTTGGACACAGACAAAAATGAGCTATTTGTTCCAGATCTGTACGTTTTTGGTTATTCTGAAGTAAGTTTGTTAAAATCCTTGTAATGTATATAGATCACCCAGAGGGGAATACTTGTTTTTGCAACAAAAGTGGAGTTATTCTTTAGACCTTCCCTGCTGTCAGCAGATTTAGAGATGTTACTCAACCCCTTTTAAAGTAATCACATTTTGTTGCTTTGCAGCCTGAAATGAAGACAAGCGCACTTTTTGTTTTATCCAGCTGTATTTACTAGGTGCAACTTATAAGATCCAAGTGAAAGATATAACACGTAGGACAAAAATTCAAAAACAGAATCACTGAGTTGGAAAAAGGATCACCACCTCTTAAAAAATGACTTGTAAACTTCAGGTATAGCAAATCGTCTTCCCAATAGCACACAAAGCCATTTGACTTTCAACTGTGATCAGCAGTGGTCATTTTATTTAACTCCGCTTGAAAAGAGCTTTCCTGGAGCATTTCAGCCCTTGGTAGTGCAACTGAAGCAAACAATCAACTATGGGTGGCCAAGTACTGTCAAAAGATCTCCAGGATAAAATTGTGGACAAGCACAAGTCAAGAGATGGATACGAAAACATTTGAAAGGCTTTACCAATTCCTAGAATCAGTGAAGTCTATTAAGAAGTGGAAGGTATTTGGTACAACAAAAACCCTTCCTGATCAGCACGTCGTTCCAAACTGGATGAAAGAGGCAGGAGGTAACTGGTCAGAGAGGCTACCAAGAGGCCTACAGCAACTCAGTTGCAGGAATTTGACAGAGTGGTCATTGTGTGCATGTGACAAAAATATCACAAAGTCTCCACAAATGTGGCTTATATGGGTGGGTTGCAAGAAATAGACTCTCTTTGAGAAAGGCTTCATGCAGTCACGAGCTTTGCCAAAACGCACCTTGAAGATTCTGAGGCCACATGGAAAAGGGTGTTCTGGTCCGATGAGACTAAAATTGACTGGCCTCAACAATAAACAATATGGTGGAAATCCAACACGGCTCATCATCCAAATAACGCCATTCCTACAGTATAGCATGGATGTGGTAATATCCTGTTATGGGTGTGTTTCTCTGCACCAGGGACTGGAAAACTTGTCAAGAGAGAAGGAAAAATGGATGGGGCAATACCATCAAATTCTTGAGGAAAATCTGCTGCCCTCTGCAGAAAGTTGTCAATGGGTAGAAGGTTTACCTTCCAACATGACAATGACCCAAAGCACGGAGCAAAAAATGACCATGCTGTGGTTGAAGGAGAAGAAGGTGAATGTCCTTGCATGACTTAGTCAGAGCCCAGAATTAGTGTTGCCAAGCCCACAACAGTAAAATCAGTCTGTATATGCAGTAAAGCATGCTTGTTATACTCATTGTGGAATCTAAGGGGTTACTCCTCCACATTGTGTAAAAAGGATGTTTGATCCTCTCTTCTCTGATCCTCTCCTCCTTCCTGTGTCTCTCCAATATCTCCTGATAGAACTGAGGCTAGGGACAAGCTGCACATGCTCAGTTTAGTGTGTATTGCTAGAGGTGTGCTTTTTTTCTTAGGAAAGTGTATGTGATCAGCACAGGGCTAATCGGCACTCTCGAGACAGAGGTTAGAGGTTCTGCATCCTGCTACAGGAGAGTGAAAACTCCTCTTACAAGCTGTAACCAGTGCTCTGCTGATATAAGTCACAAAACTGCTCCAGCTGCTGATTAGAAAAGGTATTTAGCAGTTTATATTTACGACGATAGTTGCATTTCCATTTTGTGTGCGCTGTGGGAGACCAGATAGAGTGAATGCAGGGTCTTGGGTTTATAACACTTTAAACCTCCTTGAAAATCTGTGGAATGACTTGACTGCAGTCCACAACCACATCCGTGAATGTAGATGTGCAAAGTTAGTAGTTTAGTCTGTTCGGATAGAGACCTATCACAACAGACTGAAGGCTGCAATTAAAACGAAAGGTAGTTCAAAAAATACAGACACAAGGAGGTGATCCTTTTTCCAACTCGTGACTTTGATTCCCCCCCCCCCCCCCCCCCCCGACACATTGGTGTCATATCTTTCACTTGGAGAGTAATTACAGCTGGATAAAACAAAAACTGTCTGTCTTCATTTCAGGCTGCAAAGCAGCAAAATGTGATTATTTTAAAGGTGGTCTTTTCTATACCCACTGTATGCACAGACAGCAGTTAGACACCCCAAAAAAAGTAGGTGGCTATAACATGGCAGTTGGAAGAGGGAACTGTGGCTCTGCTAGCAAATCCACTCTTGGAGTTGTCAAATTCCTTGTGGGCTCAAATTGCAAGTAAATAAAAAGCCTAGGACAAGAGCTGTAAGTAGAAAATTAAATTACTTGATTTTTCTGTGCTTTTACCTGAAATTTTATTTATAGCAAGGTCTTCATAAATATGTAAATATTCGAATGTCAATAACCATGCCGCAGGTTCACATTAGGGAGTGATTACAGCGTCCCTAATATTTCCTAAGTCCGATAAAGTTTTATTTGCCACAATAAGGAAATGACAAAAATAACCACCTACTTGTTTTGGTGGTTTGTCAGACCCCCTTTTTTAATGTTCAGTACTGTTGCTCAGTTTTTCAAGGCCCTTCCAACTTGGAAATTCCAAGTTCCTCAAGTTTCATTTGTTTCTTTGCATCTTATGTTCATATTGACCTTGCACAGAGCTGCGCAGTATTGATTGGTGGGGTGGAAGGTATACAGAAGCAGGACTCAATCTGAACTGAACACAATGCGAGTGCAAAGAAACTCAAAGGGCATTGGGAAGAAGTTCGGAAGGAACTGGGAAGCAGCATTGAACCCTGATGAAGGAAGAATGATGAACTTCTGAAACGGTTTGGCTATTTACCAGGGCTTTTGGATTTGGGTCCAGTGCTTTCCAAACAATTCAACAGAGCATGCCGACTGAGTTTTATTTTAAAACCGCTATAACAATAGAATCACTTCACTCAACTGACTTGTGTGTTATTTGCCATAAGTATTATTTACATTCGTGTGACTCCTTTTTTAGTCCTTTTTGGCATTTATTGCTAAAGTTAAGGTCGTGAGGTATACAGTGATCATTATTACTTAATGAATTTAGCCTAATGCCTAGCATAGAAAATGTAAGCTTTACTCTAAAAATCCAGAGACAGTGCTGCTGTGCTCTGTATGCTCACTCACCAGCTAAAATTGTATATTTGCTCCTTGTGGAAAATTCTAACAGAACTGATTTGTTTTTAAATAGCCTTGGTCCTCTAGTAAGTAAAGTAAAGGAGTATCAAGTTGAGACCATTGTCGACACACTCTGTACAAATATGTTGTCTGACAAGGAGCAGCTACGTGATATATCTAGCATTGGGTTGAAGACTGTAATTGGAGAGCTTCCCCCTGCATCCAGTGGTGAGTTCTCTTTATACTTTTGTCTTTTTGTATAAAATGGTGATCAGTGATATTTTATATCATATGATATATATTTATGCATAATTTTATCTCAGAAAGTTAAAGTGGAATTCTCGGTCTAAACAGAACCCCCTGCTGCTACTTATAATGCTTACACTTTTAAACAGATCTGTATACTAAAAGTGATGGTAAAGCTTCAGTTTTTTTTTTCTTTCTAAAATAAACATGTTATATTTACCTGTTTTGTGCAGTTGCACAGAGCCATCACTTTCCTGCTCTTTTGGAGTCCCCCACCGGCACTCTTGGCTGCTCTTTGCTTCTGAGTGCCCCCATAGCAAGCTGTTATGTGGGCTCAATTACCATCCGGTTGTGTGCATCTGTAGATACAAACAGCGCAACACTCCACCCTCACATGATTTGATTAACAGCAGCAGGAGCCAATGGCTTCCGCTGCTGCCGGTGAGGGTTGAGAGAGCAGCGCTGCTGCTCTGGGGCACAGCTCTTGATCGAAAGAGAACTCATAAGTTTTAGAGGGGGGAGCTTAAAATGGAAGAATTTTCATTTCATTATGTCATTACGACTAAGTTTTTTTCAGTTCTGATCACAAGATCCTGCAGCTCCGTCTTCCCCGTCACCACTCCTGGAATTTCCAGCTGTTGTCGAGCGCCCCCTGACACACAGGAGTAGGAGCTGCAGTATCACGTGAATGGAGCAGACTGAAAAAAGATAAGTACGTAGGTTTTTTTTTTTTTTTTTTTTTTTTTTTTCTTTGTTCCTTCTTCTTAGTGTAGGTGGCAGGAAGAGGGAGGGGACATTTTTAAGAGTAGTTATGGTCAGACAGGGATCCAACACCCCAGAGATTAGGAAAACATGCAAATTGATTTGCATCTCTTCCTAAGGATTCTTTCGGGTTTGCTGAATGTGATCTATTGTAGTAATTTATCACCTTCTGCAAAAAAATATAGTAAAATATTTTAGTCTCGTGCCAGCTCAATTATGAAAATTTGGATAAATATGTAAGAATGTTGTTAGCTGTTATCTACATTAGTTTTGCATTTCGCATTGGATCAGATCATAAAATCTGTACTAAACAATTAGTAACAGTCATAATTTTGCTTGTTTAAAATCTAACTAGAACTTATTTTATTTTATAGGATCTGCTTTGGCAGCAAATGTTTGCAAAAAAATTACAGGTCGTTTGACAAGTGCTATTGCAAAACAGGAGGATGTTTCTGTCCAATTGGAAGCCCTGGACATCATGGCTGATATGCTCAGCAGGTAACATTCAGAGCCTTGAAAAATTTATTTCTAAGGCGATCTACATAAAATGGCTATATTTAATGGTTTGAAAGACATGTTTGTGTTCCTAAATATTGAGTAAAGTAGGGGCAGGTGCAATAGTTTGAAGCAGAGACATGACCCCAGTGTCTGAGCTTCAGATCAGGTGTACATATGAATAGCCTTTTTTCATATTTACATAGTCATGTTTTAAGAGACTCCTCAAAGTATGAGAATTTGCATTCAATGAAAGATCATAGTAAAGATGAGGGCGGAGCTTTTGGGGTAAATGTGAGGATTGCTGTAGCAATCATGGAAAGCTGACAGTGAAGTTTCCATGAAGGTTGTTTCCTTAATCATTTTCACTCTTGACCTTTGTTAAACTTTATAATGCGGTGTATAAAGCTATAGAAAATATTTTAATATTTTTTAATTCAATTAACCTACAGTATATGACTCTTTCGTTTTAATTGGCATTATTGTCTGTTATTTAATAAAGCTCATTATGTTGCTGAATGGAATGGCGATTAGTTGCCTCTGATTATTGCACCTTGTTTTTTGCACTTATAATTAAAGCCATGCTTTATTTAATTAAAGCGCCATTAATTTTTGTTTGGTGTATTTTTCTTTTGGTGAAGAATTGTTATATACTGTAGTTAAACTGTTTTTTGTTTTTTTTCCCCCCCAGGCAAGGTGGATTGCTTGTTAATTTCCACCCATCAATTTTGAGTTGTTTACTTCCACAGTTAACGAGCCCAAGGCTTGCTGTAAGAAAAAGAACCATTATTGCTCTCGGACATCTGGTTATGAGTTGTGGCAACATTGTGTTCATTGATCTAATTGAACACCTATTGACAGAGCTTTCTAAAAATGACTCCATGTCTACCACCAGGACATACATACAATGCATTGCTGCTATCAGTAGGCAAGCAGGCCACAGAATTGGTAAGTGCAGGACTAAACTGATAAACCAAAAATGTTGATAGTAGACTTTTTGTTTATGACAGAAGAGACTGTGTGTCCCTTCTGCAGTAAATGCTTTTGCCTGCCTGTCAGTATTTTTTTTTTTTTTTTTATGTAAAAGTACAGTGGGCCATACATGCATAGCGTAGTGTACAGTCTTTGCAAGATTTGTGTTGGAGTGAAATAACTCCTGTGCTCGTGTGGGTGTTAAATGGTCCAAACTCAGGCAATCATGATGGCCGAAGATTCTGAACCCAAAAGAGGACCGAGTAAAGATGAAAGCACTGGCAATGGAGGGAAGAGTGGACATCACAGTGCTGGAGGGAATCAATTTGCAAAGTTAGTCATAATGTGTAGGTATGCTCTCTACATATTTGCAGAGTCCCAAATTTTTTCTGCACTCCATTGGCTGGAATAGTTGTCCACTGTGGAGCATTTATGAGCACTTCAAAAGTGTCCTTTTTTGGAAGTAGAAGAATAAGCTGTATACCTACTCAACCCCCTTGACCTATCTGTTCAAAGGGAAACACTGATGCAAGGAAAAAGCTCCATATATTTGTGTATCAAGGTAAATAATGAAGCAAGTAGTGTTTTCAGCTGCTAGGAGCCTTAATCATTGCTATGATTAAGGTCCCTTTTGACTGAAACACATAGGAGGACTGTGCAGTATTTGCAAGCTGTTTGCCTATTTATGGAACTGGGTGTGAGATTCACTACTTGCTTTGCTTTGGTTAGTGGGTGCACAAAAGTCACTCTCAAGCGCATCACTCTCAGTAATGGGCAACTTGTGACTAGCATTAATCTGCTGCAGTGTTTTCTAATCTTGTTCTACTTTTTTCATTTTAGGTGAATATTTGGAGAAGATAATTCCCCTTGTGGTAAAATTTTGTAATGTTGATGATGATGAGCTCAGAGAGTATTGCATTCAAGCATTTGAATCTTTTGTAAGACGGTAAGAATTAGTGGTTTCTTTTATTTGTAAAACAGTTATTTAGTTTTTAAAGCGGTAATTGTTGAAACACTAATAACTTTACTGTGCAAAATTCAGCTTTAAAATGTGCTGTTAGTCTGTGTTAACAAGTCACAGCGGGTTGGGTTTTGCCTAGTGCTAAAACAATATTTATAGGTTCTGAGCCCTGTGGGCCATCAAAAACCTGTGAGGTGGCCTCCGTTTGGGTGCGGCGCAGTTTGAGGTATGGATCCCAATTTGAGTGAAAGTAAAAAGGGTGTGTGATTTTTTTTTTTTTTTTTGGTTTGTTTTTTCCCCTTCTTTGGGGTGGGGGGGGGGGGGGCCTTACACACAACACAGAAAAATATATCACTAGTCAGTGGGTAATAAGAGTTGTCTGCCTAAATTGCTACATTTTGCTATCCTTGATTTGACTAGTGTTGTCAGTTTGTGCTGGATATCTAGGGATAGTTCCCTAACCTTTTTCAGAGTGCCATGTTAATGCAGTACTGAATATCTAACCTGCATAACTAGCTTGGCATTTGTGCATGCTCCTGATTACATTAAAAAGTAATCTTTAACTACCCATGCATTTTTAAACATTTGTTTTCTGAATAGGACATTTAACAGAATTAGTAATTATGAAATATTTTTTGCAGGTGTCCAAAGGAAGTGTATCCACATGTATCAACCATTATTAACATTTGTCTTAAATATTTAACTTATGATCCAAATTATAATTATGATGATGAGGAGGATGATGAAAATGCTATGGATGCTGATGGAGCAGATGACGATGATCAAGGTTTTCTTCATTTAGTTTGTTATAAAGCAATTAATCTACTTCGTACAGAATTACAACATTTTTAGATTTTATACATTTTTGTTAACTTTGTTAATATATGATCTTATTTAATACATTTTAAAAGAAAAATATGGCAAGAGGCTATCTCGTGGTCTGTGGACATTCAGTTTCCAGGCTTTTTAAAATAAATTATTCCACAAAATAATTGTCTGAACTCTAGTCTAAAACTGCCTGTAGTTTCTAATCACAAAGCTGGTAAAGTGTGTTAAGTTATCCTACTATTTGGCTCAACCTTGATGCTGACATGCAGATTGTCCAGTTTGAATATCAGCTAAAAAGAATTCTTGAATTTGTATGACTGCTAGAGATGTTGAGGGTTATGTAAGAAGTGTTTTTTTTGTATTTTTTTTTTTTCTTATTATATTGCATTGGTTATGTGGTTTATTGTAGGTGCACATAGTGTCTAAGCGAGTAGTTGTTACAGTGTACAGCAGGGAAGTGTTAAAACCCCTGTCTTATTGTCACCGCTTTGGAGATTCACACTATCCTCCTTGTGAACCTTAACACCAGGGTAGGAATGGGTGGGAAATCCAAGGATTTCTAATTTCCTCCAGATGAGATGAAGACAAGAAAAAACCTGAGGAGTTTTTACCATCCCTACTTAAAGAAAATATACTTTAGGGTTTGCACACAAACAGAAGTGTTCCTAATACCCGATGACACCTCCCTCACACCAGGACTCAGTAAATAGAACATTTTTTGACAAATTGCTAACTTGGCTCTGCATTTTGTCAGAGTTAAATTGGCCTCTTTTCTCTGACTGCATTTGAGTCTGCAGTGCAGGCTGAGTTGCTTTTCTTGCCAATTTTCCTGAGGGAAATATTTTGGTGCTTTTTTGGAAAGATAATTTAATTTACTATACAGTAATCAAATTTGTTGGAGTTGAACTGAGTGAGGTGTGATTGTGGCTTCTACTTTATGCAGGACCACATTGTGTAACTGTGGCTTTTTTTTTTTTTTTTTTTTAGGTAGTGATGACGAGTACAGCGATGATGATGATATGAGTTGGAAGGTTAGACGTGCAGCTGCCAAGTGCCTGGATGCTGTGGTGAGCACTCGACATGAGATGCTGCCAGAATTCTACAAGACTGTGTCTCCTGCACTAATAGCTAGGTTCAAGGAACGGGAAGAGAATGTGAAGGCCGATGTGTTTCATGCATATCTGTCTCTTCTGAAACAGACAAGACCTGTACAAAGCTGGCTTTGTGACCCAGATGCAATGGAGCAAGGGGAAACACCACTGACTATGCTTCAGAGCCAGGTTTGTTTTCTATCTGCATTTTCTAAAATGTTCTATATAAAAATCAGAATTCTGGTAACTTCATTGCAAAGACTGAGTAAGGTATTACTTTTTATAGGGTGGCAGCTCTACTTTTAGTGCCCAGTGTGTTGTTTTTTTTTTTTTTGTTTTTTTTGACTGCACTTTATGAAAATTTATGATTAATTTTTTCTGTTTTTGAAGTAAGCGTATGTAACAACAAAAAATAGTTGTTTGTCATTTAAAATTTTTGAGTAGATAATGGTTTTGTTTAGTGCAACAATGCATAAACATGTACAAATGCTTTGATATTCTGGCTTCATTTCTTAAATTTCGTTCAAAATAAAAAAGGTTTCTATGTTGCTTATTTTTAAATCTATAGGTACCAAACATTGTGAAAGCTCTTCATAAGCAAATGAAGGAGAAGAGTGTGAAGACTCGCCAGTGTTGTTTTAACATGCTCACAGAATTAGTCAATGTGTTACCTGGTGCTTTAACACAACACATTCCAGTTCTGGTGCCAGGTAAAGCAACTGTTTTATTTTACCTTTTTTCATTTTCAACAAATCCAGACATTTTTTTAAATTGGTATAATGTAAAAAAAATAAATCATTTTGCAAGATTGGCACAAAATATATAGTAATTGGAAATATTGTGTGAAAATATTCCAGGCTCACTGCTTTTATCTATTTTGCAGGAATCATATTTTCATTAAATGACAAGTCAAGTTCTTCTAACCTGAAGATAGACGCTTTATCGTGTTTGTATGTGATTCTTTGCAATCATTCTCCTCAAGTCTTCCACTCACATGTCCAGGTCTTGGTTTCACCTGTAGTAATCTGTGTCGGGGATCCATTCTACAAAATCACCTCTGAAGCTCTGCTGGTTACACAGCAGCTTGTGAAAGTCATAAGACCTCTGGACCAGCCTTCTTCCTTTGATGCAACACCATACATAAAAGACTTGTTTACATGTACAATCAAAAGGTTGAAAGCAGCAGATATCGATCAAGAAGTTAAAGAGCGTGCAATCTCCTGCATGGGTCAGATTATCTGTAGTTTAGGTGATAATTTGGGAAATGACCTTCCTAGTACGCTTCAAATATTCCTGGAAAGACTGAAAAATGAGATCACTCGTTTGACCACAGTAAAAGCTTTGACACTGATAGCAGGCTCTCCTTTGAAAATAGATTTAAGGCCAATCTTAGGTGAAGGAGTACCTATCCTTGCCTCATTTCTTCGGAAGAATCAGCGAGCTTTAAAACTTGGGACACTATCTGCTCTAGATATTCTAATAAAAAATTATAGTGACAGCCTCACTGCAGCAATGATTGATGCTGTACTGGATGAGCTTCCACCTCTTATTAGTGAAAGTGATATGCATGTGTCTCAAATGGCCATTAGCTTCCTGACAACGTTGGCTAAAGTATACCCATCCTCTTTATCAAAGATCAGTGGATCTATCCTCAATGAACTGATTGGGTTGGTGCGGTCACCATTGCTTCAAGGAGGAGCTCTTAGTGCAATGTTAGAGTTTTTCCAAGCCTTAGTGGTGACTGGCACTGTGAGTCTGGGATATATGGACTTGCTCCGTATGTTGACGGGACCAGTTTATGCACAGAGCACTGCCCTTACTCACAAACAGTCATACTATTCTATTGCCAAATGTGTGGCAGCACTTACTCGAGCATGTCCCAAGGAAGGTCCAGCTGTGGTTGGTCAGTTTATCCAGGATGTTAAAAACTCAAGGTCCACAGACTCCATTCGCCTCTTAGCTCTGCTATCCCTAGGAGAGGTTGGCCATCATATTGACCTCAGTGGACAGTTAGAGCTGAAATCTGTTATACTGGAAGCTTTCTCTTCTCCTAGTGAAGAAGTCAAATCTGCAGCTTCATATGCCCTTGGAAGCATCAGTGTAGGCAACCTTCCCGAATATTTGCCATTTGTTTTGCAGGAGATAACTAGTCAACCTAAGAGGCAGTACCTTCTGCTTCATTCTCTCAAGGAGATAATAAGTTCTGCTTCTGTAGTTGGCCTTAAACCTTATGTTGAGAATATATGGGCTCTACTGCTTAAACACTCTGAATGTGCTGAAGAAGGAACAAGAAATGTAGTTGCAGAATGTTTGGGAAAACTGACGCTGATAGATCCAGAGACTCTCCTGCCACGACTCAAAGGATACTTAGCTGCTGGTATGTCTTGTAATTTTGTAACTCTTGTAACCCTTTTGCTGCCAGCGCAGTTTTTGCATTCTGTGCACACGTTTAAAAAAAAAAAAAAAATTTTAGCCTTGAAGATTGGGTAAAACCCCCAAACATTTTTTTTTTCTAGAAGCAGACACCCTAGAGAATAAATTGGTGGTTATTTAAATTTTGTCACATATTTGCACAATTTTTTTTTTTATAAAAAATATTAGGACATGCATAACATATCCATTCCTTGGTAAAATATAAAAGATGAGCTTTTGCTGAGTAAATAGATGCCCAAGATATAGATATATATCTATCTATTTATATTCTGTCCCTCCAATCTAAGCAATTTCTATCTATTTTTTTTTTTTTTTTAAGGGGGGGGGGGGGGTATATTGTGGTCTAAGTGCTTGGACGTGACTTTTCTTTTACTTTTTTTTTTTTTTTGCTATCACAAAGTCTCGCCTATGTGATATATTTAAGACAGGTTCTCTTTCATGAGAAATCAGGAGTCTTTTAGACCCCTGATGTTTTACCTGCCCTCTGTTGAAGCTAATGAGTGCAGATATTGAGCCATTAGCTTCTTCCAACACCTGCAATGGAAAAGAAACGTCAGAAATGTAAGAAATGTAAGGAATGTTGTACAATTTTTTTCTGGGTTCATTCTAGTTAAGGGAGATCAGTGAACAGATGTTCTTTGGCCTCCCTTCCCTCCATACAACAACACCTGCCATGTAGGACAACGGAGCTCAGGAATCCTGGTGGGGGGGAACACCAAGGCTGCAGCATGTGTATATGTGAAACCCCCTACCTGCGATTACCGCTGTAACACCGTAACGTTTCTGGCGATGGCAGTAATAAATATATGCTTCAGCCACCGTCTAACATATTAAAAGGGGACTAGGAGCAAAATGCAAGAAATACGATCACATTTAATCCACCAACAAAAAACCCATCTTCACAGCGAAAAAAAATAAGCCTTTTATTAAGTTCAATTGTGTATTTACTCTGATATTCTTTTAGGGACTTGAAATTAATTTATTTGTACTGCCATTTTTTTCATGCACTTTAGATTTAGCTGTAATTTAATTAGTTCTCAGATTTCTTCTAATGTTGTGTAATGTTTTTTTAGGTTCATCTTATGCACGAAGCTCTGTAGTAACAGCTGTTAAATTTACGATATCTGACCATCCTCAGCCCATTGATCCTCTGTTAAAGAATTGCATTGGTAAGCTTAGGTACAGATAATTCTCAAGTGATCATTACAGTGAACACATACAGATTGCTCAGTTGCCAGACATTGAAATGGATCCAGTAGCTACATTTTGTTAATTATGTAGACTTTTAGAAAGAAATATATGCTTAGTAAATTGGTAGTTGGTTTATCGCTCCTGTATATGTTTTATTCTTACCATTGTGTACTGAATATAGGGGATGCTTGCACCACAAATACAGTGCATAATGTTATGTGAAAAAAAAACAACGCAACGTATGCTCCATGAAGATCAAGACAGTTTAATGGATGTTAGTACAAACTAGTAGTAAATGTATGCTTATGTTTCCAAAGGATACTTTTAACCTGGTCATAGTTGAATTGAAATTCAGCTGGTTCAACAAGGACCGGACAAATTTCGATTCATCTATGGTTGTGCCATTCCAGAGAAATTGAGCTAATAGACTTCTCTTGAACCAGCTTATTGGAAAAAAATGTTTCCTGAAGGAGTCCCCGCTGTCAGAATACAATAGCGCTGCAGGGAGGATTCCTCCAGCCACCTCACTAGTGTGGATGGGGGATCTGTTCAGTTTTGTGTGTTGAGGGACCCATTTAGGAGAGAAATAAATAAGGAGATCTTATTAATTGTGCATACTCTGGAGGTGTAATTTTAGTCCAGGCTTCCCAACCAAAAAAGAATCTCTGGCCTGTAACAGGTATGGAGCTAGAAAAGTGCAGGCTCTGAATCTCTTCTTGCATGATTGTTCCAGGATTTGGAGCTTCTGCCTTTTAAAGCAAGTTCGTAACGGCTCCAAAAAATTTCTTCTCACAGATTGCTTTTTTAAATCAAGTATTTTTTTTATTGAAAAATAAACATTTGGTTACATTTTCCAGATAGTGTTACATGCCTCAGAGTTAGGAGTCATAGTAGTAGTATTGCAGTAAACAGCATATTAATAACAGTATCACTGTAACGTAAATTTTTAAAAGCGGGGGTTAAGGAGCAAATATGTTACAAGTTGTTAGTAAAGAAAGGATAATGACCTCACATCTTTAATACTTGGTCTCATATGTTATCGACTAACATGGACATCGATAGATATCGACTGTGTATAAGGACTATATTGTACAAGGGGTACTGAAAAAAAGACATCCGGTATTTGCATGGTGTGCTTCATTGTTGATTCAAATCAATCACACAGATTACCTTAACCTTTTTAAAGCAGAGTTGTTTAACCTGTGGTCCATGAGCCACATGTGGCCCTAGGAGCCCTCTGATGTGGCCCTCAGCCTGTTATATCTGTTATATCCTGTGGATTTTGTGCGCTTTCTGAACTAAAGAAATTTAAAAAAGCAGTTGAAAACCAGTAAAATATAATTTACTTAATCCAAATTAAAAGGTATGCGCTAATAACAAACTTATACAAAAGTGTATGTCATCATCCCAAAAAACATTAGTGTTTTAAATAAATTAGAGTGTCCAAACATAAATTAGTGTCCAAAAAAAAAATATATATATATATATATCTTCAGTGACTTGAACCAATTGTGAGAAATCCACCACCAAAGGAGATTAAATGAACTCACCAGAGCTAATGGCTGGTCAGATTATAAACCAGCAACAGCACTTGTGCTCTGGGAGCAATGAACCCGATGTCCAAATAGATATGGTGATGTTTCAGATACTTCCAGATAATAATCACAGACGAACAACTTTGCAGCCCAAGCTCTTATGATGAACTTCTCCACTCTGTCTCATACCTCCATGAGAGCATACAGTACACTCAGGGACAAAAAGAGAACATAATGGTGCAATACGTTTTTTTCATTTATCTCTTTAATAAAAAAGGTATAAGGAAACTCACAAACAAGGTGTCCAACAGACACCAGCTTCAATCGCAAAAAAGGGTTGAGATACAGTTAACGCTCACCGCAGATCTCTCCCATACAGCACAGACCAGCAAGGCTCTCTAACATCCACATCAAATAGACTACGCCCAACCAGTTTCGTCACACCGACGTCATCAAGGGGGCGGTACCTACCCCTTGACTGTATCAGGGGGTACCTGTACCCTTGACCGTTAACTGTATCTCAACCCTTTTTTGCGATTGAAGCTGGTGTCTGTTGGACACCTTGTTTGTGAGTTTCCTTATACCTTTTTTATTAAAGAGATAAATGAAAAAAACGTATTGCACCATTATGTTCTCTTTTTGTCCCTGAGTGTACTGTATGCTCTCATGGAGGTATGAGACAGAGTGGAGAAGTTCATCATAAGAGCTTGGGCTGCAAAGTTGTTCGTCTGTGATTATTATCTGGAAGTATCTGAAACATCACCATATCTATTTGGACATCGGGTTCATTGCTCCCAGAGCACAAGCGCTGTTGCTGGTTTATAATCTGACCAGCCATTAGCTCTGGTGAGTTCATTTAATCTCCTTTGGTGGTGGATTTCTCACAATTGGTTCAAGTCACTGAAGATATATATATATTATTTTTTTTTTTGGACACTAATTTATGTTTGGACATTCTAATTTATTTAAAACACTAATGTTTTTTGGATGATGACCTACACTTTTGTATAAGTTTGTTATTAGCGCATACCTTTTAATTTGGATTATTGTTGCCAAAATTTATTTTGGGTGGGATATGCTGCTGACACTTTGGTGTTTTTGTAAGTGGCGCTTTTTTCTTTTTTAATTTAATATAATTTACTTATCTATTTACTAATGCTAGCAGCATAAGGATTAAGTGGTGAGAGCTTACTTCCTCTTTAAATAGTGTATTTGTTTATAAAATGTTCATACATTTCAGGTGACTTCCTGAAAACACTGGAAGATCCAGACCTAAACGTCAGACGAGTAGCCCTTGTGACATTTAATTCTGCTGCTCACAACAAGCCATCACTGATCAGAGACTTGCTTGATTCTGTGCTTCCCCATCTGTATAATGAAACGAAAGTTAGAAAGGAGCTAATAAGAGAGGTTAGTAGTGTGAATTTTTATTGATTTCCCAGACAGCTTTTGATTACTGTTCTTAAATTCACTTTTTAATTCCAGGTGGAGATGGGTCCTTTCAAGCACACAGTTGATGATGGTTTAGACATCCGGAAAGCAGCCTTTGAGTGTATGTACACTCTTCTTGACAGCTGTCTGGACAGATTGGACATCTTTGAGTTCTTAAACCATGTTGAAGATGGCCTCAAGGATCATTATGACATAAAGGTAAAGGTGTAGATCTTTTATGAGTTTGTTGGGAAATATATTTGATAACTTACATTTGTGCTCAAAGTTTGCATACCCTAGCAGAAATTGTGAAACTTTGGCCTTAATGAAAATATGACCATGCCGAAAAACTTAATTAAAGCGAAGCTCCACCCAAAAGTGAAGTTCAGATTTAAGGACTCGTGCCCTGTTCCCCAAGAGGAATTGGCACCTTTTGGGGAGTGGGTACCAGATTCTGACAGGTACCCACTCCCACTTTTGCTCTGACCGTCTAGTCGATCGGAACAGGGGAGTTTTTCTCCCCCTCCCTCCCCTGCATTCTGGGATATGTGGTATGTCCCAGAAGACTGCAGAACCATTCACAATGCACAGCAGGCACCTGGCTGTGAAGCTGCAGGCTGTCACAGCCAGGTGCCCACAATTAAGATGTCAGCGCCAGGGGTTGAGCACACCATGGACAGGTGAGTGGCTGTATAAGTCAGCAGCTACAGTTTTTGTAGCTGCTGAATTTAATTTTTTTCACAGGAGACTTGATAACTGCTTTAAGGATAGTGATCATATGAAGCCATTTGTTATGACATAGTTGCTTGGCTCCTTTTTAAACCATTGTGATAACAGAAATTACCCAAATGGCCATGATCAAAAGTTTACATACCCTATTAAGCTTGGCCATGATACAGACACAAAGTGACACACACAGATTAAAATAGCAATTAAAGATTAAATTCCCACATCTGTGGATTTTTGAGTTGCAATTAGCATCTATGTATAGTCAATGAGTTTGTTAGCTCACACATGGATGCATTGAGCAGCCTAGATACTGAGCCATGGGGCGAAGAAAAAAAAAAAAAAACTGTCAATAGACCTGCTCAACAAGGTAATGGAATATTATAAATATGGGAAAGGATATAAAAAGATATCCAAAGCGTTGAACATGCCAGTCAGTACTGTTCAATCGCTCATTAAGAAATGTAAAATTCTGGAATGTCTTGATACCAAGCCATGGTCCGGTAGACCAAGAGAGTGCAGCCACAACTGCCAGAAGAATTGTTTGGGATACAAAGAAAACCCCATGGGTAACCTAAGGAGAAATACAGGCTACTATGAATAAGACTGGTTGTTTCAAAGAGCACAATACAATGATACTTGAACAAAAATGAGTTGCCAGAAAGAAGCCTATACTGTGCCAATGCCTCCAAAAAGCTTTGTTACAATATGCCCAACAACACCTTGACACTCATCACAGTTTCTGACGCATTGCAATCTGGAACGACAAGACCAAAATAGAGGTTTATGGTCACAACCATAAGTGCTATGTTTAGTGAGGGGTCAACAAGGTATATAGCGACAAGAATACTTTGGACAGTGATTATACATGGGCCCGAAAAAAGTTCAGGGTACGGGATTACACTTCGCACCCTGGCATGTGGGGATGGCTTGAATGTGCCATTGATTTTGACTGAGAAGTTAGGGGAAGGGACACATGAAGGAAATATGAGCTCGGTTTTGGTTAGATTGAAATTAAGGATGTGGTTTGACTGACTGATTTTTTCAGTCAGTAAATTAGTGATTCTTGAGGAGACCGATGTTGCGAGCTGAGTGGTAGAGAGATAGATTTGGGTGTCATCAGTGTAGAAATTATATTGAAAGCCATGGGAGGCTATCGGTTGACCCAGGGAGGAATTGTAGGTTGAGAATAGGAGAGGGCCAAGAACAGAACGCCTACGGAGAAAGGAAGAGGAGGAAGTAGAATTGTAAGTTACACTGAAGGTGCGGTGGGATAGATGGGATGAGAACCAACAAAGAGTACAGTCATGCAGCCCAAAGGAGTAAAGTGTTAGGAGGTGTAGGATGCGGTCAACCATATCAAAGGCAGCCAAAAGGTCTATGATTAGGATTAAAGAATAGTGTTAATTGGTTTTAGTTGGGTCATTTTCTTTTTTTTTTTTTTTTTTTCTTTTTTTTTTTAACTTGTCGCCATGTGTTTTATCCTGCTTACTTTTTTTTTTTTTAATGGTACATACTGTATATTACCAATTTGCCAAGGGTATGCAATCATTTGAGCACAACTGTATTTGTACAGTGTCTGAATATAACAAATTTCATATCACCAAAAAAAGCAGATCGTATATGATGACCTTATGCTAATGCCACTAACTTTTTTTTTTTTTTTTTTCGTCTTTTTCTAGATGCTGACATTTTTAATGTTGGTTAGGTTATCCACACTGTGTCCAAGTGCTGTGCTACAAAGGCTGGATAGATTGGTAGAACCATTACGTGCTACCTGTACAACTAAGGTATGCAGCATCAGTGATTTTATATCCTCAGTCTTTTTGTAAAATCATTTTTGTAAAACATGCTAGTGATCAACCGATAATAAAGTCTTCAAGAGAAGCAATGACAATTATGATGGTAAAGTAGCATGTTCTTTTTAATGCCTGCTCCAGCAATTGCTTGTACTTGACTTCACCCTACTCCTGCTCCATGTGCCCTTGGAAGCAGAGTGACATACCTAGTATTTCTGGGCATGATCTAGCATGTGATTTGTTTGTTCCTACCATGTGGGGGTATGAAGGGTGCAGGTGATTAAGTACACAACTTTTAAGGTAGAGCGGTGGTGGAAAATCTAAAGCAAATGCATGTTCCGTTCTTAAAAGAAGCAATTTTGTTTTCCCCTTTCATTTGTTATGGTTTTATAAATCTGTTGTCTCTCTCCATCTCCTCTGGTGCTCAGAGGAATTTCTGCAATAAATGTTTCCTCTGTTTATGCATCTCTTCCATTTAGTGAGCTTTTTCAATCTTCAGAGAGTTTTTTTTTTTTTTTTTTTTTTTTTTTCTTCTTAAGGTGGTAGTAAAGTTTTTTTTTTTTTTTTTTTTTTTTTTTTATTGTATTGTAAATATCTCCTAAACGTGCACCATTTAGGATATATTTACCTGTAAAAAACACTGGTACATGTGGTGTGTGCCGTAAAAAGCGACTTCAGTACGCATGCGCAGGAGTGACATCATTGCAGTTCAGTCATTCAATCTGCCGGAGCTCGTGAAGCCAAATGGACCGAGTGAAGATGGAAGCCCTGTCAACAGTGGAGGGCTTTTTGAAAGGGATAAATTCACCATTGGGAACATTTTACATTTTCCACCTGTTTTTTTCCACCTGCTGATTGCCTGGAGCTCTGAGATGGATGCACACAGCAAAAAGCGGTTTCAGTATGGAAGATGGGTCTCCTTTCTGAATGATTCCTTAATCACATGGATAAAAACAAGAAATTATTATTTCTGTGATGAAACTGAAAATTCTTGTGATAATTAATCAAACGTTTTTCAGATGTGTTTGTAGATTTACTAATCACAACTGAATTATTTGAGCTTTCACTTTTTCTGTTATAATTGGTGAATGAAACCAGATGTTTGAATGACACTGGTTATTACAAATGCAAGTGTAGTTTCATTAAAAGGCACTCACTCTCCCCATTTCTCCTGAGTTAAACTATACTATAAATCCTTACTCATTTACTTTGAAGATAGCTGCACTCTGCTCAAACAGCATCCAGTTAATACTCTTGAAAGCTAGCCGCGTCTGTGCAGCAAGACATCATTGACTTGTTTTTGGGTGCCTCTATTCTCAGGGGATGGTTGCATACAGGTCAATGAGTGCTCATTGCACAAATCCAGGCACCTCTGATAGAACTGTGCCGCAGCTGTCTTCCTAAGAGAAGTAGACGGGGAAGGGGGGGGGTTGTATGGATTCTAGCTCAGTTTAGCTAGAGAGGGGTGACATTATACTTTCACTAAAAGTACACTTGTTTAAGAATAAATATGGATTTTTCAGAAAATACATTCAGTTTTAAATCATTCTTAGCATTTGGAAAGATTTTATTTTTTTTTTCAAAGCAAAGTGGCCTAAAAAGACTGGTTTACGCAAGCTCTAAGTCATAGTCTGAACTGAAAAATGTCAGTGAATGGTTGAAACAGTGCAGACTATACTGAGAACAATTTTCCCTCATGCTTTGATAATCAGGCAGAGAGCAGTTTGCTTCTGTCTACATATTATTCACATGCACTATAGTCTGTAATACTTAGTTTAATAACCATTTTCATATGTCTTTAGGTAAAGGCAAACTCCGTGAAACAAGAATTTGAGAAGCAAGATGCAAACTCCGTGGTGTGAAACAAGAATTTGAGAAGCAAGCTGAACTAAAACGCTCAGCAATGAGAGCAGTGGCAGCACTTTTAACCATTCCTGAAGCAGAGAAAAGCCCGTTGATGAGTGAATTCCAGTCCCAGATCAGCTCCAATCCTGAACTGGCAGCCATATTTGAAAGTATTCAGAAAGATACTTCCTCTGCTAACCTCGAATCAATGGACACAACTTAATTATACTGAGGAGGGACCATAACATTGAACCATAAAATGCACTGAAATTGACAGGTTCTAAGAGACGAAAGAGAATGAAATATCTTAAAATTTCAAGCTTCACAATGTTCCACTTTCTTTATACTTTAAGAAGATGGTTTGGCTTAATTCCATTGTTGCTTTTTGTAGCATTGATTCCAGGAATATAAATGTCCATAACCAAGATATTATTGGTTTGACCATTTTAAAGATGGCTATAGCTTAGAACACAATGTTTGAAGATAACTTCCAGCATCCATTTGCTCTGTAATGTTTAGGATTAAAACTGTTAAAAATGGACCATGAATATAATTTTTATTCCTTTTTTTTTTTTTTTTTCTTCAGCAGCTGAACACATGGCTTTTTGTACAACTTCTGTTCCTTTGATTCCACTACATAAAAGTTCTGGCTTGCAGATCTAAATCTTTGTAATGTTCATTAAACGAGACATGACCAGAAAGTAAATATCCCTTAAAATCTGTTATGGTAGCAGTCTATCTGTAATCTATATTTAGTTGCATGAATGGGTGCACAAATAAGTATATAAAAACGCATGCAATTTTACACGAGCTGCATATTGACTTGCAGTTTTCCTGTTAAAGAACATATAAACATTTTGATGTGCTCTAAAACATTACATACATCATTCAACAGTGTGATCACAGAACACCGTGCAATGTAGGCTCTCAGCAATTTAAATAGCCAATTTCATGAATACTTTTAGAACATGTGAGAGTATGGTCTTTATTGTGCTATTGGTGTTTTTCCCCAAGAACAACATTCATAACCTCTTATTGTATATCTTTTAATACTTGTGGTGAACCATTCACTACTTTACTTTAGGATTTGTGCTCGTGGGCACTATGTTCATACACTATTTTATTCTCATGAATTGCAAGTTTACCAGAACTCTTCTGACTTGGCATGTGTAAGGTTCATAGATCCTTTGGGTAAACTGCGGTTTTGAGGTATATTGGTATTTTTGTAATTGCTAAATTAAGTATTGGTATGTTTCTTTAATCATACTTTCAGCTTTCCTACGTGAGAACACAAGGGAATGTTGGAGGAAGGTGTGTGAGTCAATGGCTCCTAACCAAAAGAAAAGGCAAACGTACAATACTGTGAAAGGGTTTTAGGCAAGTGTGAAGAAATGCTGTAAAGTAAGAATGCTTTCAAAAATATATATTTTAATTTGTTTATTTTTAACAATTTTTGAAATACAAAACGGGAAACCAGAAGAAAAATCAAATCAATGATTGGTGTGATTACACTTTGGCTTTAAACCAGTATCAGTTCTTAGACTTGCACACTTTGTACACTTGCACAAAGTCAGGGTTTTTGTAGGCTTAGGCTGGCCATACATTATACAATTATCTGCAGATTTTCTGCCCAATTTCCTTTAGATTTACCTTCAACTATGTAGTGCAAGGGCCTGCCTAATTGGATACAACAAAGTGTTGTTTAGGTTTGTCCTCCTATTATATGGTTTTTGGTAAATCTAAACCAAAAATCTGCAGATAATTGTATAATGTATGGCCAGCCTTAGTCAGGTGTATGATTGCCCTGTTACACCAAGCTGGTGCAAATGATCATCAATTTCATATGTAGATTGACACAGGCAATAACTGAAACAAAAAGCTGTGTAGGAAGCTTAAAACTGGGAGAGGAACTTCCATAATCTGCTTTTAAGATAAGGTGAAAGACCTTTTCATGTCACTGGTCGTAAACCATGGCAGGACAGTAACAAGACACAAGGTACAGTGCTGTGAAAGTATTTGTGCCCTTCCTGTTTTTTTTTGCATATTTGTCACACTTAAATGATTCAGATCATCAAACAAATTTTAATAATCCACAAAGAAAACCTGAGTAAATTCAAAATGCAGTTATTAAATTATTTAATTCATTAAGGGGAAAAACTGTCAAAATCTGCCTGTCCCTTTGTGAAAAAGTAATTGCCCCTAAACCTAATAACTGGTTGTGCCACCCTTGGCAACAACTGTAATCAAGCGCTTGCGATAATTGGCAATGAGACTTTCACATCGCTGTAGAGGAGTCTTCACCCACTCTTTGCAGAATTGTTTAAATCCAGCCACATTGGAGGATTTTCAAGCATGAACTGCCTGTTTAAGGTCATGCCACAGCATCTCAATCAGCTTTAAGTCTGACTAGGCCACTCCAAAACCTTAATTGTATGGGTTTTTTTTTTTTTTTTTTTTTTTTTTTTTTTTTACTGTTCAGAGGTGGGCTTTCTGGTGTTTTGTATCGCTGACCTGCTGCATAACCCAAGTGAACTTGAGCTTGAGGTCACGAACTGATGGCCAGACAGTCTCCTTCAGGATGTTCTGGTAGAGCTTAGATTTCATGGTTCCATCAGTTATGACGAGTCGTCCAGATACTGAAGCTGCAAAACATCCCCGGACCATCACACTATAACCACCATGTTTGACTATTATGATATTTTTATGAAATGTTGTGTTTTACTCCAGATGTAACAACAGGTTCCACACCTTCCAAAAAGTTCAACTTTTGTCTCAGTCCGTAGAATATTTGCCCAGGGATAATTTAGATTTTTTTTGGGCAAATGTGAGATGAGCCTTTTGTGTTTTTTGGTCAGCAGTGGGTATTTGCCTTGAAACTCTCCCATGGATGCCATTTTTGCCCAGTCTTTCGTATTGTTGAATCATGAACACTGACTTTAACTGAGAAAAGTGAGGCCTGTGGTTCTTTAGATGTTCTTTTATGAGCTTCTGGATGATGGTTGTCATTGTGCTCTGAGTAATTTTGGTAGCCTGGGAAGGTCCACTACTGTTCCAAGTTTTCTCCATTTATGGATAATGGCTCTCATCTTGGTTCGCTGGAGTACTAAACCCTTTGACATGTATCGGTCTAGAAATGGTTACAAAGCCATATCTATTACTTTATTTCCCATATGTTCTTGAATTTCTTTAGATCGTAGCATGATGTTGCTTTTTGAGATCTTTTAGCATGTTTCACTTTGTCAGGCAGCTTCTATTTAAGTGATTTCTTGATACAACTGGTCTGGCAGTAATCAGGCCTGGGTGTGGCAAATGAAATTTAACTCCGCTTTCCAAAAAATGTAGTTAATCACAATTCATGATTTAGCAAGGTGAAGGGGGGCAATTGCTATTTCACATAGGGCCAGGCAGGTTTGGACAGCTTTTCTTTTTTTGGTTAATAAATAAAATAATTTTAAAAACTGCATTTTGTATGTACTCTGATTTATTTTTGTGCATTAACATTTGATGATCTGAATCATTTGAGTGTAACAAATTATGCAAAATTAAAAAAAAAAAAAAATCAGGAAGATTTCAAAGCAGAATGGGGTTTTAATATATGCTGTTCAACTTCTTTTGAAGAAGCTCAAATACATGGGCAATGTTTGTAGACCGTAGACTCAGTGGTCAGCCAAGGAACCAATGCAGCAGACGAAAGACACATTATGCATACTTCCCTTAGAAATCAGAAGATATGCAGGATTGCCATCAGCACAGAACTGGCAGAAACCAGTGGAACCCAGGTGCACACATCTACTGTTAAGAGAAGTAAGGCCAGAAGTGGTCTTTATGAAAGAATTGTAGCTAAAAAGCCATACCTTCATTGGGGGGAAACAAGGCTCAGCAACTCAGCTATGCACAAAAACAGAAACCAGAGTTCAGAAAAATGGCAGGAAGTGCTCTGGACTGAAATGTCAACATTTTTAAATATTTGGCTGTAGCTGGAGGCAGTTTTTTCCGCCAAAGGGCTGCAGATCAGTACAATGTGTTTATGCAGGTAACAGTGAAGCATAGTGGAGGTTTCTTGCAAGACTGGGGGCTACATTTCTTCAAATGCAGTTGGTAGATATGGTCAGGATCAGTGGTGTCCTCAAATACGGGAGCTAAGAAATACAGGAAGCTACCATGAGGGAGGCATGTGATTGGCCCGGAATTTACTCTGCAGCAGGACAGTGACATTGAACATACAGGCAATGTCATTAAGAACTATCTTCAGCGTAAATAAGAATGAGTCTTGGAAGTGATGGTTTGGCCACCACATAGCTCTGATCTGAACATCAAGTCTTTCTGGGGATACATTAAGAGACAGAAGAATTTGAGGCATTCACAGAAGATCTGTGGTTCTCAAGAATGTTTGGAGCAACCAACCTACTAAGTTCCTTCGAAAAATATGTGCAAGTAAATCCTAGATGAATTGATGCTGTTTTGAAGGCAAAGGGTGGTCACACCAAATATTGATTTGATTTGGATTTATCTTCTGTTCTTTGATAGAAGTAGCATTGGTAATAGTTTATTCACATTAAAGCACTCTTAAGTTTACAGCATTTTTTCACACCTGCCTAAAATGTTTGCACAGTGGTGTACATAGATTAACAAACATAGTATAGCTCCACAAGGATCAGAGTACTCATCTGGTGGGATATCTAACCAAACAGATAATTGGAGTCCTTCACTAAGCAGAATTATTTATCCTTCAAAAAATGGCATGTTTTTGCATTTCTATGTTTTTTAATGCTAGTTTTCACTTTTTAATTTTGTGTTCCAGGCTGTCAAAAATGGGACAGCATGATTGAAAGAAAAACTGCAGGTATTCCTCCTGTGATTTGAAATGAGGAAACTCCTGCCAGGTGCCTCTGAAAGCCCATCCTTCTGTCCCCTCCAGGTTATCTAGGCTTAAACTGTGGAGTTGGTCGGGTTCAAGTTTCAATATTTACTTTGTCCAGCTTGCTAGTATATCTAAATGGGAAGTTCTTCCCCTCTCTGGCTTGCTTGCTGGATAGTGAGATAAATGACTCGTATGAACTATTCTCAAAGTAGACCACTGCTGCTACAGGGCCCAGTCAAAGAGCTTGTGTACAAATATCCTTAGTAGTTTCTGTAGTTATGTACATTTTGGCAGAGCATTCTATTTGAGTCCTTTTTTATAGTAATTTTAAGAAAAAGGGTGGAATTTATGTAATTAAAGTT